ATGTACAAGGTGATCCCTGATAGATACAGGTAAAGTCACATAAAAGAACAAAAAGAACTGAAAAAAAAAACATCCTGAAGCCGCCCCAGGGAGTGACTGTATCTGTCAGGTTCTCTTCCCTCCAGCTCTCTTTGGGGGCAAAGTGCCTATCACTGCACTTCAAGGCTGTGCTTCTGCCCAGGGACTGGCCACAGAGGTGTTAAACAGAGAAGCAATTTCTATCGATCCTCGAGACTTGCAGGAGAACGTGAGGAGAATTGTGCATATTATGTTTATAAAATAATATTCCCAAATGAAACAAATGAAAATTGATTCTCAAGATAATGCAGATAGTAAGAATGCAAATACATGTTCATCATGAAAACTTCATGACTTTTTCTCTTCCTTTTACAGTCTTTGTTTATCCATTACCAAAATTGAATTTGGGTGTAGTATTTTATCAAAAAGCTTGTGCATTTTTATACAAGCCCTTTAACATCTAGTGGTTCCCCTAAAACTTTGATGTCCTGAAAAATCTAATTATTACTGGTAACTTTAAAAGATCACAGTAATTTATTTTTGTCAAATGTGACTAAAGATTAATGGATACAATCAGGAATAATTTGGTAAAAACATATCAAATGCAGAGAAAGCAAAATTTGTTGTTAAGTGAAGCATCAAATATAATAAAAGAGCAAATTCCATGAATGAACAGCAACAATGCACAATTCATTAACCAAATGCCTATGATTATTTCACACTTCAGAAGGCTACTGATATGATCAGAAATTGTAGTAAAAGGATAAATATGGATTAACTTCACCATCTCTATACATTTTAATTATAAATGCTACCTCCAGAGGGCTACCAACCAGCATAATAAAAGAAATACAAACTAAAGTTTATCTATCCTTTTTATAAATCATAACTCCATATATATAAAATAAGACATTCAGCCAATTATTTTAAAAGACAGCAATCAATATGCCAAGAGATATTACAAGTACATTGTTTTCTTAGCTGTTACTAAATATAAGTATTAAAAATCTGGTCAACATTCTGGCTCTGGGAACACTTATCTTTTCAAAATTACCATCATCACTGTCATCACCCACAGTCATTTGCCAACATCCTGATTAATATCCTTTACTGCCCAGAGGAAAAATGTGCTTGTTCAGCAAACAGTAATAAACTATAAGCTCCTTGAGGGGCAAGGACACAGATATTAGTCTTTATATTTATTCTCAGAGCTGGCTCAGCTGTTGACTCAAAAACAGTATAGTTTTAAACAACAAAACAAAACAAAACAAAACAAAACAAAAATTGGGAACGACCTAAAGAATAATTAACAAGAACACCTTTGGAGTGAATTTTTCAGCCATTGAAAAGAATAAACACCATATACATGCAAAGACTGGTTAAATACACTGTCATTTGAAAGTAACACACTGCAAAATAATGACTGCAATGGGATCTTGCCTGTGTTTTTAAAAAGATACAAATCTAGAAAATGCACAAAAGCAAGCATCAGTGAGACTTTCCGAAAGGGGAGAAGGAATAAAAGGCACTTAATCAGTGTCGCCTTATTACTGTTGTACTCGGGGTTCTGCAACCCACCCTACCTCTCTGGGTTTCCAACTCTGCTTACTTCCCCTCTCCCTACCAGTCCTGGGTTTCCACTGAAACAATTTCTTGCCTTCATAGAATCATTTCTCATTTTCTCCTTCAATCATTGACACCCAGTCAGTTCTCAATTTGGGATTCTACCCTATTGTGTATTTCCTCTGTCCCAACTCTGAGCAACCCTGCGCGCCAGCACGCGCGCACACACACGTATCCTTTTTTAACCAGAGCAAAGTAGCCCCTACTCCTATCACATTCTCTAAACTTTTTCTACATCCAAGTCCCCTACTGTTATTCATAAGGAGGACATCTCACTTCATTTTTGAGTGTTTAAGAATAGCTTTTCATAGAAAATAAACTTACAGTCCCCAAAGGGGCAAGGGTGGAGGAGGGATAAATTATGAATTTGAGATTAGCATATATAAACTACTACATATATAAAATAGGTAAACAACAACAAAGCCCTACTGTATATCACAGGAACCATATTCAATATCTTGTAATAAACTATAACGGAAAAAATCTGAAAAAGAATATATATGTGTATATACTATATAATACACACATACATATAACTGAATCACTTTGCTGTACACCAGAAACTAACACATTATAAATCAAGTATACTTCAGTTAAAAAAACCTGGTTCTTCACAGTCACACAAACTTGTATCTTAGAATCTTTACATTTTGTTTCTGTCTCTGAGAAATTTCTCTTACTATCCTGCCAAAGCTAAGATACACCTTTGATAGCCTATGCCTTGTATTTTCCCAAGATCTTGTTCCACATGTAGCCTTTACTATTTACATATTAAAGTTCTCCTCTGAGTCTACAGATATTCAGATTGCTCCTATCTTAAAAAAGAAAGAAAAAAACCATTCTTGCACACATTGCCTCCCTTCCTCACTCCTACTACACTAGCAAGTTCTGTCTTCCGTCCTTTCTCCTTTATTTGTCTCTAGATCTCTTAAAAGTTCATACCCATGCCTGCCTCTTCCCTACTGCCTATCCCTTCCTCATCACTAACACTCTTGGGTGTCCCAAAGTGGCCTCTTCAGGGAAGTCCAAAGGCCTTCCCCTGGCATTCCAGGCCCAGGCCTGCCTTTCCGCTCTGCACTCGTCTTCCCTGCATAGCCTGAACCACAGGCTGTTTCTCACACACTCTGCCTTCACGCTGTTCCTCCTGCATGTTCCCTCAGATTGGCACACTTTCAACAAGCAGTGTTTGCCTCTTAAAATTCACCTATGTTGAACAGCAGCTTGCTTTCTCCAGACCATTCTACGTAGAGGCGACAATGCCCCCAAATCTTCTGAAAGGCACATATTCCCTGTAAGGTAACTCAGTCCAAACAAGCAAGCACTACAGCAAAGGGAGCACCTAAGGGTGCTGCCTGGATCAACCATCCTTGTACCTCACGTAGTGCCTTGAATACTGCCATGCATAAAACAGGCACTCAGAGGATATTTGTTGAAATGAAATAAAAAGAATTGCTATATACTTCAGTACGTAGCATGAACATAACTGGAGACACCAAGAAATATGTTTTTCTGAATCCTACTGGAGAAATGATCTTCTTGGACACAGAAAACTGTCATCTGGTAAATTCTAACCCTTGGGGTAGTCCCAGGACAACTGAGGCCGTCCCAAACAAGACCTCCCATTAGAATGGAACTATATCCTCTTTTTCCATCTCTTTCCCAGGCCTCTTGGTGAGAAAGTGGAATTCAAATACCTTGAGGGAACGTCATCTATTCTCTCCACCTGCTATAGTACGTCCAAGATAATCCAGCTCAAATTATAAACCATGGAAGGAAAGAGAATTACATAAAAATTCTCTACAAGTTTACTAGGCAACAGAATAGATTCCAGTACTTATACTGTGAATTTACCATCTTTGGAAGTGACAAAAAAGACCAAGGCTATGAAGTTTACACAGATCAAAATTTAAGTGGGGGTCCTATGCAATCATAGTAAATCTAGGGTGCTTTTTTATTGTGTGTGCCTAATCTCACAAAATTTATTTCATTTCTGTAAGACTAAGTTTTACCAGGTGTGTAAGGTAACTAAGTCTAGGGTGGGTGTGGTAGTAACTTAATCTGAGAAAAATTATTCCATGTGATAAATTATTACCATTGAATATGAAACTGCAATGAATATTGAACCTTACATAGTAACTAAAATAATCCAGAGTCAAAATTCCTTGCAGCAGTACCCAGCTCACCTCAACATATCTAAGAACCACAAAGGATAATTTCTCTAGGAAAATTGGTTCTAAAAGTCTTTTGCCTTTATGTTAATAATGGCAGCTATAATATTATCTATAATTTACTAAGTTTCTACTTCATGTGACAAGCACTGTTTTGAATCCTCTTCATGACTACACATTTAATCCTCACAACAGTCATTAACAGAAAGTATTTTTCCCTTATTTGAAACATGAGGAAGAAGGGAGGGCATAGCTCAGTGGTAGAGCACATGCTTAGCATGCAAGAGGTCCTGGGTTCAATCCCCAATACCTCCATTAAAAAAGAAATTAATAAATAAACCTAATTACCTCCCCTCCAAAAATCAAAAATTAAAAAAATTTTTAAAAAGAGGAAAAAAAATAAATATGAGGAACCTTAGAGAAACTAAGTAATATGCTCGAGTGTGTGTGTGTATACAGGTACATGTATACATCTGATAAAGCAGCTGAGCCAGGATATGTACCCAGATTTTGATTCCAAACTCCACACTAATAACCACAGGCAAAAGAAACAAATCAATAAAGATAGCATACGTAAATGTAAGAGCACTGGTGTTCCATACTAAAATTTTTTTCTTTATATGTCCTGTTTCCATTTTGAAAGAACTTGTCAGCATGTTTCCCCTAAAGCTTTCTAATAGAGTGACACAACTATAGATTAGTAAGTCTTTTCCAGTATGCAGTCACATAAACTGGAGTCTCCCAAACTGTATCCATACTTCATTGGAAGAGATGATTTTAAGAGATACAAAAACAAAAAGAATTATTTTAAGAGATTAACTCATTTTAATAAATCTTTTCTGCCCTTCACTGACATAAATGTGATTTTAAGTGATACATAAACATTTTTATTTCATATAAATGCACTTTACTATGTATTAGAAAAAAATTAACCAGAACACCAAATCAATGAATTCAAGGAATATAAATTGTCCTTTTAAATAAACTCATTTCAGTGTGAAAACCAAGTTATATTTAATTTTAAAATTCCACAAGTACCTATATTTTTAAAATAAGGTGCTCCAGAGGATGGAAAATTAAGAAATGCAACAGAAATGTGACTTTAGCAGCAGAGAATGCACATTGTGTGTTTATATCGGGCAGGACAGATGAAACTTTTATCTGTGTTCCATCTGCCACACCAGGACTAACCTCTGGTGACCGCGTCTAGGGCACAGCCACTTCCTGTTGCTCCTCCTCCAATGACAAGGATGTCGAATTCAGATGTGTTTTTCAAAGTCAGTATCTGAGCTTCTCTGGAAGGAGGCTCCCTGTTAACAGGTTCTGACACGCAATCTGCTGCTTCAACAAAGGCCAGGTTCACCTGAGGTAAGAGACCATTTTCAGTTGTTTGTCTGGCATACCAATGTAATCAGTTTTACAATATACCTAAAGAAGAGATTTGTAACAGAGATAAGGAATACCAAAGCTAGACCATAGTCCATAATCCATAGTCCACTTGGAGTTATAGAATCAAGTGCCTTGAAGGAAAAAAAAAAGGCCTTAAAATTTTGTGGGGTTTTTTTTCATGAATCATAACTATTTATCCATGGAACACCTGGTTTCAGATTCAATATCTCAACTACTTGTTCTGGTTTCACATACAGCCAAGTTCAATTGCTTCCCACACTGTACAGCAATTCCCAAATATCTTGTTTAAGACAATTTATAGGAGAACATAAGGAAATGTTTTAGTAGCAGTCATTTATTCAGATAACAACGAGAAGTGTGGAAAGGAGGAGGAAAAAGCACTCTATGCCTTTCTGCAATTTCTTAAAAGTATATGTTCTTCATTTCTTAATTCCCCTGACAAAAGTATATTCTAGAGTTTGGGGATCTATAAGGTTAGTCAGTACAACATTTTTGATCCGTCTCCTACAGTAATGGAAATAAAAGCAGAAATAAGCAAATGAAACCTAACTAAACTTAAAAGCTTTTGCACAGCAGAAGAAACCATAAACAAAACAGAGACAACTTACAGAATGGGAGAAAATATCTGCAAACAATGCACCCGACGAGGGATTAATTTCCAAATGTACAAACAGCTCATACAGCTTAGTATCAAAAAAACCCAAATAACCCAATCAAAAAATGGGCAGAAGACCTAAATAGACATTCCTCCAAAGAAGACATACAGATGGTCAACAGGTCCAAGAAAAAATGCTCAAAAGCACTAATTATTAGGGAAATGTAAATCAAAACTACAATGAGGTATCACTTCACACTGGTCAAAATGGCTATCATTAAAAAGTCTACAAATAAATGCTGAAGAGGCTGTGGAGAAAAAGGAACCCTCCCACATTGTTGGTGGGAATGTAAATTGGTGTAGCCACTATGGAGAACACAATAGAGGTTCCTTAAAAATCTAAAAATAGACATACCATATGATCCAGCAATCCCACTCCTGGGCATATATCCAGAAAAAAACTCTAATTCAAAAAGACATGCACCTCAATGTTCACAGCAGCAGTATTTACAACATTGAAACATGGAAGTAACCTAAATATTGATCTCTGTGTGTGCGTGTGTGTATATACCACATATATACAATGGAATATTACTCAGCCATAAAAAGAATGAAATAGTGCCATTTGCGGCAACATAGATAGAACTAGACATTATTACATCATGTGAAGTAAATTAGAGAAAGACAAATATCATATGATATCACTTATATGTGGAATCCAAAAAAAAAATGATACAAATGAACTTATTTACAAACCGGAACAGACTCACAGACATAGAAAACAAATTATAATTAGCAAAAGGGAAAGGGTTGGTGGTGAGGGATAAATTAGGAGTTTGGGATTAATACATATAGACTACTATATATAAAATAGATAAATGAGGACCTACTGTATAGCACAGGAAACTATATTCAATATTCAATATCTTGTAATAACCTATACTGGAAAAGAATTTGAAAAAGAATCCATATATACATTTATATGTATAAGTGAATCACTTTGCTATACACCTGAAATTAATACCACATTGTAAATCAACTGTACTTCAATAACAAAAGACAAAAAGAATGTTCAACAGAAGTTATTATTCAGTTTAATAATCAACGATGGCCAATGGGAATAATATTATGTAAAGATTTTAGTCAGAGGCTTCCTTATTAAGTGTTTTAACATAAAATGATAGATTTTACATATTTAATATCCACTATTTTCAATTTGTGAAAGCTTTAACAATAATACACTTACAGCTAGCCCTAGTCTCCCTAAAGGAAAATGACCTTCCCTATTTCTAGTTCTTTTATTAGAATCTAACTTATCATCCTAAGTTAAAAATGATGCTAGTCTTAAAAAAAAAAAGTACTTGCCAGAAGTCAGAGCTAAAAGCCTGGAAAATGGCCTAAGTA